CGGTTGGCAAATTTCTTCCTGGAATTTGATGAAAACAAGTCGGCACATTTTTGCAGTATGCAAATTAGAATAACACTGTGGATAAGTTGGCTGGAACATTTTTGCTGAAAATGTTTTTCCCCAAAAAACACTTGGTTGAATTCTCAGAGTGGCGATATTTTCTTGTCAAGGGGCAGGGGTAGTCTAGCGTTATTGGAATTAATTATGTGACTAGTATATGCTTTGCAGGTGGGATTTGTACTTGCCTTATTCGGAAAAGATCTTTAGAAGTGAATAGAATCATTACATTGTCATTTGTTAAACAACGGCTTTTGCAGGTCCTATGCAACCCATTTGATGGGCGACCCACGACGGACGACGGGCGACGCACGACGGGCGACGCGCGACGGGCGACGCACAACGGACGACGCACGACGAGCGAAGCACGACGGAAAATGGCATGTTTGGAACTGGTAAATGGCAGAATTGAGACACAACAAAAAGCAAAATGCGACTGACGACGGGCGACGGCAGATATGGAATTTCATATTTAAGTGCATTCAAACTGTGATTTGGCCCGCGCAAGACGATTTCAGCCTACGTACTGGCGTGCAACCATATATTATGCTCTAAGCAAAAGTACCCCCTCACCGGCAAAGAAAAGACAGGCTGACAGTCAACGGCACCGGACAAGTGCAACGAAACCTTGACTAGATTTGGACGCATCTGCTTCGATTGTAATGTCATGACAATGGGTGTTTGACAGTAGATTTGTAACGATGTTTAATCCTCCTACCCCCCCCTCCACCGCCGCCTTGGTAGTACATGTGCGGCGAAACACAACTTTGTCTAAAATGAAATGTATCTATGCATTCAGGGAGATATCGAACAAGCCACACACCGTTTGCAACGTTGATACTTCTTAAACTTTTCTGAAAGGAGAAGATCTCAGCTCTCTTCAAATTACATGTAGTTGCAAACGGTTCTTAATCCGAACACAGCCGTCCATGTGTATGTTTATTCATTTCATGCGAATTCATTTTATTTTAATAATAGGAGGAAGACAACGTGAATTCATTGCTTGTTTATTCACATTTTTAATACAACCAGCATTGTTGTAAACTTGTACACAGATAAAAAGACTGGGTTCAGTTCCTTCACTTCTGGCAAGTGGAAAAGCATTGTAAAGATTCTTAATTTCCTGTTACTCCATACAGCACGCAGCTCATGCATTCAAAACCATCTAGTCAAACCAGTTTATTTCTTTATTACTTACTTGGCGGTTTATTTTATCTGTTTGAGGTTCTGATGTCTCGCTATAATACGCCATGGCGGTGTGGCAAGCCCTGTCCTAGCAAGTCTGTTACTTTAAGGTTGTTCTTACCTCTAATGGTGAAGAATTTACCGAGACGAGAGCACTCTGAATAGAGGGAAAGTCCAATTTGGGTGATGTAATACCATTCCCTACAGTAGGTTTTGTGAAGTGAGTGATAAATTTAGCATTAAAAGCATTGGATATCTCAGTAGGGTCAGTACACGTAACACCATTGATTTTAAAAGCCCTAACCTCTGCAACAGAACTTTTTTTTTAAAGAATATATGACCAAAAACGTTTCCTGTTGTCGTTAAGATTCAGCAAATAATTGATATGCTTAGCTTTTGGTCTTATTTTTTCAGTTTATTCCAGAGAAGACAATATTGTTCCCACAGGCCGTCACAAAGTAGATCATTTGTACATGTTGTGGCTGGGTGATAACGCTTTCATTTTAACGTAACAATCTTCAAAATGTTCGTCATTCAATGTTTCCGTCGTTTACGCTGATTTCTGTAGGGAATGCTCTCATCAACACAGGCAGAGATGAGGCATAATCCCATTCCTTCCTGAGTAAAATGTGTCCCGGGGGAACGTCTCTCAAGCCACGTAGATAACCAGTGTCACACTTAGAATAAAGATAGTGACGATTCATTATTCTAGACATGACCCTCGGTGTTCCGCATATGCGGAAACTGATCATGGAATGGTCAGATGTGGAAAAGAAAGGTGGAACAGAAATATTTGTTATTTTCTAAGGATGTGTCTTAGGACTTAATCCAATAACGAAACCCGATTATCGGGGGGGGGGGGTCATGTATAGGATCAATAATGAGCTGATGCAGGCTATGGGCCAAGGTAAAAAATTTCAGCTGGGACAAACGTGTGTGATCTTCCATCCAGTTTGCATGAGATAAATCTCCCATGATGACAACATCAGTATACTGGCTGAGATCCATGGCAAATAAGGCATTCTCAAGATGATCTAATGACGCTGCATCATTAGGTGGCCGATAATATGAGCCACACAACCATTCGCATGACACAAGTTGCAAAGACACACTTCAACATGTCCAAACTAATTGTGATGGCTGATAGGATTAAATGCCAAAAAGCACCCGTCACCTCTAGAATTACGATCCTTTCGAAATATGGTGTGTTAGTCGCTGATGATGCCATTAAGGAAAAATGAATCCAACCATATCTCACTCATGGCGATAACATGAATATCAGTTGTGGAAAAAACTTCCAGTTGTGCAAACTTATTTTCAAAGCTCCTGGTATTCTGTGATACACAATAACTGATGGATGTTTTAACGGGTGGTGGTTGAGAATCAACCGATGGCGGTTTGTCACTTACTTCGTCCTTAGTACAACTGCCCACAGTCAAACTGTTATTGCCACTATTCAGTTCAAAAAATGAGTTTGATAAGTCAGGCAATTCAGTCTGAAGACACAAAGGGTACATCCACGATTGCAAGTTAAGTCTATTTACAATAGAATCACAACTAACGTGGCACCAAAGTTTACAGCTTTTGCATTGGAGAGGATGGAAATTCCTCACCGGCTTTGAGCAGACAGTACATGGGTACTTACGTGGGCCTGGCTTTAACTGAATATTTAAGTAATAGTCTAAGAGCTAGGTACATAAGATTTCTACTCATTTCACCCAGATGTTTTGACCCCTTAAAGTTAATTAGGTTGTCCATGTCATTCAAAAAAAATGGTCAGCCTCCCCCCCCCCCAGGTTGGACCTTGACCTTAGACCCCCTTGAAAACAACCCTCAGACGGTTTATTTCACCCCATCTCATTCAAGGACTAAAATTTGTCAAAACTAAGTAGTATGATAGTACATCACAAAAAAACCCCAAAAACTGACTAAGTATCTGGTTGGGAAGTTGTGGTCAGACCCCCCCCCGGCAAAGTGCCCCCAACAGCTCCCCACAGTGAATTTATTTCACCCCATTTCATTCATGGACCAAACTTTGTCATAACAAAGTACTGCGCTAGTTCATCACAAAAAAAAGAACTGACTGAATATCTT